AAAATTTCATGATCAATGATTGTGATAAAATTCGAAAGATTTGTACTTTGATTTTTACAAACATTTTCAAAAAGAAACACAAAAAAAAAAAAATTAGAAGAAGTATTCTTCAATGAAAATAAATACAAATTAAAGGAAAAATTTAATTATGAAAATATAATTTAAATTCATTCCTATCAAATTTCAGGGGTGAAAGTGGAGCAGGTAAGACTGTAAATACAAAACGAATTATTGAATATTTGGGAGTGGTATCCGAATATCGGGGTGAATTTGGAATATCCGATGGTATTGATAAACGGCTTAGTGCTGCCGGAATTGTTATTGAAGCGTTTGCTAATGCATCAACAATTCATAACAGTAACAGCTCTCGACTGGTATTACATATTTAGCTATTATTTTTCAATTGATAAGCTAAAATAAAATAATACTCATTTATTTCATTTAATTAAAGCTATTATAGTATGCCAAAAAAAAAAAAAAATTTCGAAATTAAGATTACTTAATTCGGAAAGATAAAATTAGATTTATAAAATGTCACCAAACGAAATTTTTTCATCAAAATATCCCAATTACTAATTGTTATTACTTATAGGGAAAATTTATCCGAATTGATTATGGTGATGATATGATAATGAAAGGTGCTCAAATTCAAACTTGTATGTTATTCTTTATCGTTTTTTTTTCCTCTTTCCTGTAATTTTTGATAAATGTTATTTATTGAATCACAAATAAATTCGTCATCTTTGATTTTGTCTTGAAGATTTGATCTTTGATTCTTTGAACAAAAAATGCGAACTACTTTCAGTGGTTTTTTTTTTAATTTTTATTGTTATTTAAATATTTCCACTTTGTAAAAAATCCAAATAAACAATATTATTGTTGAAAATTTCCTACAGATTTGCTCGAAAAATCGCGTGTTGTAAAGCAAAATAATGATGATCGGAATTTTCATATTTTTTATCAATTATTATCAGATGGTTTTGATAAGGATTTACGTTACTCGTTTGGTCTTGGTCAAAAAGCTAGTGCATATAAATTTTTAAATCAAGGTGGGAAAATTATGGATCCGGAAATTGATGATGCTCAAGGTGTTATCGATACATTGGTAAGCAATGGTGAAATTATAATGGTTACTACAATTGTTCCAAAATGTTTTATTCTTGCTTATTAGCAATTTTATGGCTTATTTAATTTTAGCTCCCTAATATTTATTTATTTTTGACGAAATAATTTTAAAATATTTTAAAAGTAGCTGCGCAAAGTATTTCATACAATCAATTTGCATAGGTTATATGCAATTTTAAAATTTGAAGTTGATTAAAATTTCTTAATAACAGCATGCAATGGATATTGTCAAATTTACCAAGCATGAAGTGGAGGAAATTTTTGAAATTATAGCTGCTTGCATTCTTCTTGGTGAAATTAAATTCACCGAAAGAACCGGTTTTGATATCACTTACGTTGATGGTGCTAAAGGTCAGTTATTACTTTACATGTAACTATTACATTTTTTTGTTTTGTTTTATTATTATTTTTATTATTACTATTATTATTATTATTATTATTATTATTATTATTATTATTATTATTATTGTTATTATTATCATTGCTACTGTTATTGTAAATATCATTGTCATTACTTTAAAATGTTTTGAAAACTTCCACAGCTTATATTCTAGAAAAGAAGAAGAAATGATAAAATGATAAACTTTTCTGTAATATCGCAATAAGCTAATTTGCATTTAATAATAAACAAATCGCTTTATGAGTAATCCTATCATATTAATA